CATCCATAACTAAATTTGGGCCCTTTATTCAGAAAATCCAGATCTAAAGGTGGAGAATAAAAACATTTTTATTTTTTCTTGCTTTCTTAATCGACTCATATCTACCTCATTTTAACTTGGATTTCAATTTTTTTTGCACAGATGGAACGCGTTCGTTGTGATCTACAAAATGAGATCCATTTTCAATATTTTTTTAGGAAAAAAATTTAATGCCTCTCGTTACCAACTTCATACCGTCTGGTATTTTCTTTGTTTTTAAGTCATTTTTGAAAATTTGTGCACATAATGAACGAGTTTATCATGATTTAACCTACAAATTTATGTGTTAACAAAATATAGTACAAAAAATTACCACACAATACCACCCTGGTACGGGGTGGTATCTTGTGGTACACAGTGTTGGAAGTCGTAAATGATATTTAGTATACTCATATTATCATGTATTTAACCATCCTACAGTCTTGGTATGTTCATACCACCATGATACACTTTTCATACTATATGCTATGTTTTTATTTCAATACGAGTCAATACCATATGATATAGACTGGTAAAAAATGACTCAATTTTGTTTGTTCCAAAAATATATCAAAGTGAATATCATTTTGAAGAGCACAATCAATTTTATCTAACTGTGAAAAAAAATTAAATTTCTACTTAAAACAAGTGAGAAATCATCCGTTAAAGATTAAAGGGGAAAAAATTATAGGCTTTACAAGAATGAAAAACTAACGTTGATGTAACGGATTCTAATTGGGTTATGCAGCACAATTATTGAGCAGATCTGCTCAATCTGCATCGCAATTCTCTCTCAGCAGTTGATCGCGAACCTTAAGAAAACTGAATCACTAAATGTCGCCCTTAAAATTGCTAACGGTCGCCCTAACTCTAATGATAAATGACTTATATACCCCCAATAAAATTTCATAATTTAAACAAACCAATCAATCCCTAACTCCTCAAACTGAACCCCTCATCTGCCTTCTTCGTGAATCCCTCTCGACGCACCAGTCAGGCGGCGCCTTTCCCACCATTGTCGTCGCCCGTTCTCTATTGAAATTTCCAAAAAAAAAAAAAAAAAACGCTCAACCTAAGGCAAGTTACGGTTGGTCCATGGTGCAACCGCAAGTGAGCTACGGTTGGCCCATGGTGCAACCGCAAATGAGCTACGATTCCTTTTCTTGCTCCCCCCCCCCCCCCCCCCCCCCCCCAATTTTTGGAGTGAACTTTACCGATTCAGAGTCACTAGTCATGATCCAAACATCATATCGACGATTCCAACTCCAGAATGACGATGATGGATTCTCTCTTTTGAATAATGTTCTATTTTCTTACTAAGTGGTGTTTGTTTACAAAAGGAAAAGTAAAAAAGCTTAAAGGTTAAATTTGTGACTTTGATATTTTTTAGGGCGACATTTAGCAATTTTCAGGGCGACCTTTAGCAACTCCCTAAGAGGACGCCGCTCGCCGTTCTCGCTCGCTGCCGACTCGCACCATACGCCGGTTTCTGTGCCTGCTGTCTGCTCTGTGGAAACGAAGGCTAAACCCTAAAATTTTCCGATTCGAGTTGTAACCGTCCGGCTGCGGCCTCCCCTTCTTCTTCCACCATCCCCGTCGGCGTCTGATTCTCCTGACTGCAGTCGTCGGATTCTATCCCTCCCAAATCCAGAATTTAAGCTTTTCTTGTGCTAGTAATCGAGTCCACCTCCCTTTTCCGGTCTCCCACTGCCAAAAGCTCTGTTCGTTTTATTGAACAGCGAGTGTAAGCACCTTTGAAGCTTCAAGATGTACAACGGGATAGGATTGCAGATGCCAGGGGGTCGGGAACTAATTGTTACAGCCAGACCAACTAATTGTTTAAGAAGAGAAGAATAATATGGTGGGTAAGTTGGGAAACCAATATGTTAGGGTGGGTGCTTAAATAAACAAAGATGACATTTGAATAGTTAGTACAAGGTTCACATGGGAATAATGACCATAAGGTTCACATGTGAATAGTTACAAACTAATATTCATCGCATATAATATAAGTTCATAAAACAAACATCCATACCGCCCATACAAACACCCATTCACCCCAAAACAAATATTTGTCCTTTATAGAACAAAAATCTATGGCTCCCAGACTAACATTCATCCACACTATAAATAATATCCACCCTTAAACGAACAAATATCATTGACAACCTGACTAATATCTAACCACATAAACTAATTTATGAAATCACAAACGGACTAATATCAGGGTATGGAAGACACACTCTCCTACTATTATTGATTCATTGGCCTTCGGCCAATGGGCCCTCGGCGGGCAGCCCTAACTAAGGTTGCAAGCCTTATGTGTTAGGACTTGATAGTGTGTTTAATTTTGATGGAAGACACAATTAATTCACAAACTAATATCCATCGCATATAATATCAGTTCATGCAAAAATTAATATCCATACCACCCAGACTAATATCCGACCACATAAACTAATTTCCTTCGGTCCATGGGTAATATTTTGGTTAAGGATGGATACTAGATTGGATGATATGAATATTAATCCGGGTTGATTTCTCTCTTCATGTGAGAATAGTTGGTGGATGACATTAAAGGCTCAACATCTCTCTCATGTGAAAATTCATCAAAAGCATCAAAAATAGCAGATGGTGGGCCATGCTTTTCTCTCTCTTTTGGCAACTCAGACCGGATATTAGTTCGTTCACTTTTGGATATTTATTTGTCTTGACTGGATACGAGTTATCTCAGTGGCTCCCTTTCTCAATCCCGCCCAAATCAAAGGTGGACCCAAGCCACCTTGATCAGCTTGGTCGGCTGGGCCGACTTGTGCAATAAATCCCTTAAATAGCTCACTTAAATGAGTAATGGTTAGGCGGACCTCCTCACCCTTAGATTAGAACTGAGCCTATGTGGACAAATCTGGGCCTTGTGAGTATCTACTCACAAAACACCTTGTGAGCAAATTAACTTTTTCGGTGGAACTGTTATAAGTTCGTTAAGCAGCAGAATCTATCTGTGTATTCTAATGAGGTAGAAGTGGCCATAGCAAGGGACTCTCATGGTTATGCTGGCTTTGAAAACGTCTGTCTCTCTTCATGGAGTTCATAGGTGCCCTGTACGTAGGATTTACATGTTTGTGGGTTGAATTTCTTCTTCTTTTTGCTGTATACTCATACTTAGGTTCTGCCATATGTCTGTTTGAGTGGTAGTCATTTTGTTGTACCTTGATTTGCATGTTTTGGCTGGATTATGGAAGTCTTGTTAACAATGATGATTATGCTTCTTACATGGGATTCATTAGAATGCTTGGTTTTCTTATTTGCTCAATCATCTGTTTTGAATCTAGTTGGTTTCATTTGGTATCCTTGTTTTTCATCCCCTCTGTGTTCTATATTGATTCGCATACATAAGTTTCCCCTTCCATAACTATTCTCTGTTACTTCTCGTGGTCCATTTCTCGGTAGGACTGTTTATGGCAATTAGATTGGGAATCCTTTTTTCATGGGAGTCTTGGTGCTTGTTAATATTGTAAAATTGGCCTCATCCTACATGTGTTTGATATTTGAATTTGTTTAGTTAGAATTTCCAACACAGTCTCACCAAGTTGCTGGGAGGAAGGAGAGAAAGATCCGAGGGCTGCTCTTGGAGTTCACTCAACTGATCCCAGCAAAGATGTTGCTCATTTGAGTCATGGTGGACAATTTACCAGTGGGAAGAGTGGTCCAGATGATGGGAGTAAGTGGATTAAGAACCCGAAACATTCTTTCGTGGATAGGGATTTCAAATGAAAGAAAGATATTGCAGAAGATTTGGACCTTGAAAAGGATGATAAGAAGAGGGCAGTGTGAATGTAGTAATATGGCTTACTTTAGTAGGAGTTCCATTGAGTATGAGTATCAGGTTGAAATTGAAAGATGATGGATGGTGAAATGTAGGATAAAATTTGAAGTAACTATTGTATTGTTGAATAATATGTTATATAAGGATGCTTGAAATTGAAAGATGATGGATGGTGAAATGTCGCCCAATTAATGCCACCCTATCATACATATTTAGTAGGCTAGACGAGCTTGTCTGGAGTGGGGCTGGCCTTAGTTGATTATTATCTTTTTCTTGCATCGTTGTATTCATAGCTTTATCTTGTTTTTGTGGATTCTGGTGTGCTACTGATGTAGAGAATGGATCATTGTTACATTTCATAGGGATTGGTTGCAGCAACTTGAAGGTTACATTTTATGATGAAGGGGCATAATAGGAGAATGGAAGATTGCATGACATACAGGTAATTCATGCATGTAAGAGGGTTAGAAGAACTCTTTGTTCTCGTGATTTCCCGCTCGAGACTGTGTGAGAAACTCGTAGTGTCACCTTGTTAGTCCGAACGAAGGGAGGGATTCGTTGATCATGTCATTTACATGCATAAGTAAGCAGCAACGTTTTTAGTTGCGAAGATGTGTCTGGGTAGATCCAAGATGTGTCTGTCGTTTTTAAGGTTTCCCGCATTTCCAGACCGACATTTGTAATTTATTAGTTCATCTTTAGCGCAGGAGTGGTGCTCGTTGAGTTCGATCCCTGCTGCCATCGCTACCAACAACCTCTCACCGTTTCCCTACTCTATCTCTCACTTCTGCGCAACGCTTTTCCTACTTAAACAATCTGTTGGTTCGGAGAAATTGAGAAGAACACAAATTTCATGCTAGTCCACCCACAGCGTAAATTTCAGAAGGTCACAAGAGGGAATTTGGCCGGTGATTTACATAAATATTATAAATATAGAAAATACTATCACATATAGTGGTGAAAATGTAATTACAAGGTTATTGTAATGAGGAGGCGAAACGTCTAGTTATGCGCATATTGAGCGAAAGTAGGATAAATTTCGTTAAATTTGTGAGGCGTTGCACGAGTTGAGCGAAAAGGTATATAAAATTAGCTAACCAAAATCGATAGCTCGGGGCCGAGAGTATAAATTGCTCAGCCGTTCTTGTTTCACTCACGAGATTTGAAGGCTTCATTAGCATTTCCCTCGTTTTCTTCACACTCGCCATCTTCACGATCTATGGTTAGGGTTTCTCTCCAGATTTCACCAATTTCCAGGCCCGAGAAAAATGAGTTCTGATGCTGGAACAAACAAGGGAGGCTGCGGAAAGACTAAGGCGACCAAATCTGTCTCCAGATCCTCCAAAGTCGAATTGTAGTTCCCCATCGGATTGCAAGGTTTCTCAAGGCCGGGAAGTACGCTGAGCGAGTCGGCGTCGGAGCTTCTGTCAACCTCTCTGTCGTCCTCAAGTATTATCCCGACACTGAGGTTCATTACTGCGGATTCCCTTTTCTCTTTCCGTAAACAGATTACCACATTCTTACGAACTATCGTTTCCCACATTCATCATTGTTTATCACCAGTTACCACTTACCGCCCCTATACCAGGGTGCACTGGCGGATGCAGGGGGTGGCCACCCCAGGCCCCGGCCCAGCCCTCCTCTGGATCCGTAATTACTATAGTCCTTATGAAATTTTTGATTTTAGACATTCAATCCAGTGTTATTCTATGATAAGATTGGGTTTAACTAGAAAAATTATCAAGTTGAACATATTCAAATCACTTTTCTAAAATTAGCCTAGAAATTTTAGCCCCAAAGATTATGCGTCTTAAAAAAACAATGAAACCTAAAATTCTAATAAGTTAAAAACATAAAAGACTAAAAGAAATATGAGGTTTGTTCCCTTACAAATTTACTAAAGCAGCTGGTGTGCAGGGATGGACACACAATGTAAATTGATTAGTCGATTGATTTATCTAGTGTTGATGTTGCTCGTTTCAACAGCTACTACGAAGAGAAACTTTTTAACAATGAAAGATATGAGAACTATTTGCTCAACAAAATGAGCGATGAATTTCTCGCCGATTGCTCAAGTATTTTATTTGAAAAAGTGTATACTATTAGTATGGATGTAGACTTCATTATTGATGCATTCCCTAAATTAAAATACAGTTGTGTACAATTTACATTGCAAAAAATTATAATTATATTTTTTTTACGATTATAATTTTCTAATGAAATGCGGCCCAGTGCTCTTCTGTGTTCTGCATCCGCCGCTGCCAGGGTGTTATAGAGTGGTATATTTTGGTCCTGTATATTTTTCTCATAAATTTGTAGATAGAATAAATTATGATGAACTCGTTTTATCTGTGCAAAAAAAAAATTCGAAATTCCAGTTAGAAAAGGTGGCACTAGGTGGTAACGAGTGATATGAAACTTTTTTTCTCTGAATATTTTAAAAATGGATCTCACTTAGTAGATCACAACGAACTCATTCCATCTGTAATTTTTTTTTTAAATCCTAATCAGAACAAAGAAAATAAGAGTCAATTAAAAAATTAAAAAATCATTAATTATTACGTCTTAGATCTGGATTTTTCCTTGACCACTCAAATCTAGTTATGAAAGAGTGTGCACCCTATCCTCGACGTAACCTAACTCATTAATATGGTATTGAAAATACCCATTTCACTTTCGTTTATTCTTGTTGTTATATTTTTTGACTTATTTGATTTCTCTGTTGTGAAAAAAAAAAAGTTAAAATGAAAACAAGAAAGAGTGAGTGTAACACCTTAGGTGAATATCATATCGATAAATCACAAGAGAGATTCATGGTTCATAAGTAAGAAACCGACATTAACTGACAAGACGCATTTTGGGGTGAAATGGAGGAGTTTTTGCGTGAACTTTAAAGTTAAACGTGCTTAGTGTGGAGTACAACAAGGATGAGTGACCTTATGGGAAGTCGCCTTGAATTGTACTCCAAGTCAAAAACCGTAAGGGTCGACCCAAAGCGAACAATATTTTCGTCAGGAAAAGATTCAGGATGTTATAGTGAGCTTTTATAAAATAAAATAAAAAGAAAGAAGGGTTAATACCCTAGTTTGGCCCGAAGTTTGACGTAAGGGACAGTTCTATCCTCATTTTCAATAAGACATTTATGGTCTACTTTTGAAACTATTGGAAAAATTCAGCCCACATCATTAAATAATATCACTTTAATTTTACAATTCAATTAAAAAAAATTAACAAATTAAAAAAACCAAACTTATCATCCCAAAACCCCAAACCTGTCCTCTTGCTTCACTTAATTTTAAATAAATTTTATTATTAAAAAGATAATAACATTAAAAAATCTACAATCTTATCTCTTCCCCTCCCTCTTCTCTGTCCAAGCAATTTCAGATCCGCCAGCCTCTCGAGAGGAAAGCTCATCCCAACGAACTCCGGCATCCTCGCGAGCGCCTAACTTCATTGCCAATCTTGGGAGCCCTCGAAAAGCACTTCTCCGCCTGGGGTTTAAGGCACAAAACTCTTCTGCAACTCCGGCATTCTCGATGTTGTCGACTTCGATTGGTGATACCAGCTGGAAACGATGCTGACTCGGTGGTTGATGTCTGAGTCACGAGTCTGCTCTGTCTCAACTCAGAAGAAGGGTTGCCCCAAAGCCCGATCTGTGATATGGGCAGGCTCCTTCTACTTGAAATCATTTTATCTTTTGCGATTCCTTCTGCTTGCTGGATCGTCCCTTCCTCTCAGGTCCGAACAATTCCTCCTGTGGAAAGACTCTGAAACTGCTCGTCTCGTCGTGAAACCCTTTAGATTCATCATGCCAATGAGGATTCTACAGATTGGGTTCTAGTTTGCTTTGGCATCTGGCTTCTCTCCCCGGCATTTCCTACGACTTTGATATCATTCTTGGAAATCATCTTTCTATTTCCTTCTTTCCATAATAATTGACTTGTTAATTTGCTAGGGGATCGAGAGAATGGGGTGGATTTGTGGTGGTGAGGCATTCTCGATAAGAGAAGGGGACGAAATTATTGATTTTTTTCTTTTAGGAAATTACTAAATTATAAGGGATTTTTTTTAATTTGTTAAATTTTATTTTAATTGAATTATAAAATTAAAATAATATTATTTAGTGACGTGGCATGCCATATCAGCGAGTTTTGCTGAGTCACTAACGGAATAGTGTTTGACCGTCAATATTAACGGTCAAAGAAAATTTTAGGCCAAATTTGTCCAATAATTTCAAAAGTAGGTCATAAATGTTTTATTTTAAAAATTAGACAAGAACTGTTACTTACGTCAAACTTCGGGCCAAATCAGGGTATTAACCCACTAAAGAAAGAGTGTGAACTATCAGTCGTCAGCCATTTGCGGGCGTGGGCCTCGTTGGGCTGAAAGCAGTAATGGGCAAGCTGAGCAGGTACCCAAATTGGGAAGATGTTAAGGAAAAAAGGTTAGAGAAAAAGATAATCTTGGTTGGACCATGCACCCACCCACCCACCTACTCCTCTCCTCTTCTCAATATCATACAGCTGATGATTGACACTTGGCTTTATTCCTTCTTTCTGTTCTTCTTTCCATGTTTAGCAATGGCGGATTCCGTACGGTTTCATGTATTTTTTTAACTTGCATCCCTCCCAACCCAATACAAAAGGATTTTATTGCTAGAGGTCTGTGTTCCTGTGAATCATTTAATTTAATATTTTACAGGAAAACATATTTTTTGTATTATTATATGCATGAGTTCGCAGGTTTGGGGTTCAGAGAATATGTGACAACATCTATTATTATTTTCATTGGTTTTTATTATTTTATAATTGAAATTTCTAACTTTGTTATTCAAAGTTAAAGATAATTAATGACTCTAATTGTGATTTATTCAACTTGATGACTTGAGGAAGATTTCGAGTTGGACACATAGCACTGTTTTATATGAGAACATTATAGTTTCGCATCTTTTTTTTTTTATAGGGTTAAACTGAACTTTATATCATTTTATTAACAAGTAGGACTTTGTTATGGTGACATGCATGTCACCGTAACTTGCATTTTGAGGTCGACCTAATCTGCCGTTTCAGTCTTGTGCTAGAAGGCAGCTTACTTCGTAGAAACTTCGAGCCTTTTGTTTGAAGCCTTTCAGATATCCAATATTTCATCCAATGCCTTGAATTTGTAGACAAACATACCTACTTTCATGTGGTAGAGGCCCCTGGACTCGAATCTCATCCATGCTTTCTCGAATTGAGCTCCAAAGTAGGTTTCACAAACACTTTCCCAGACTTTGCCTTTTTCAGGCAGTTTCCCAGTTTTGGCATAGCATTTTGATCAGGTTCAAAAATGGTCTACTGGACTTCCTATCGAGCTTCCAAGCACTTCAATGTGTAGAGGGACACTCCAACTTCAAAACAAGCCATTAATCTCCAATTTCCATCGAGCCAGTTATAAGATATGAATCTCCAAAGATAAAATATAACTACTGTTTTATCTTAGAACAATTTATATGTAATAGTTATAAAACAATGTGTTCGTTATGTAAAGTACAAAATCGTTATAAAAGTCATATGTAATATCTTTGTTAAATTGTTACGTAAGAAATAACTATTACTTATTAACCTTTACATAATCTATATGTATCTCATATAATAGTTGTGAAACGATGTTGCATAATGAAACATCATTTTACATAATGGATATTAACAATATGTTTCATAGATTGTTAAGTTATGTTATTACCGAAGTCTTGCAAAATATGTATGATTCAACGGTTAAGTAAGAAATAAAATAATTATCATCTCGTAATCTTAACATAATGTATTTATATTTTACATAACCGTTATACATTGAGATTTGATAAGTCTTGCCTAACTGATTGTTTTTTTTAGTTCTATTATATAATAATAATAATAATAATAATAATAATAATAATTATAATACTTCCCTTTTGGTTTTCGATTTTGTGAGTTGGCTAGCTTAATTTGAATTCACGTGGGTGCATCGATGATCGATCGAACACAATATATAAGGCTCTGTTACCAAAATATTGTTAAGATCCCTGTTCATATATAATTATATATATTTTAAGAAGCTTTTCATAGGAAGAAATTCATCTTAACGTTAGTTAGTATATTGACGGGATAAAAAATATAATTTTCAGAACTCTAATTAATCTACTTTGGTATGTTGGCATAGTTGCTTCATCGTATCTCGATTTATTTTTTCTTAATTATATATAATTTGTTACTTAGGATTTTACTTTTATTACATCATTTTTTAGTTGTAACAAATGTATAAATAGACGAGAAACTTAGCTTCCTAAATAATTTTACTACATTTATCATGTCATGGTCTTTTTCTCGTTTTGAATAAATGAAAAATCAATGTTTCAACTATTTTTACTTCAAATTACACACCTATAACGAGGCTGATCTAACCTGACCCACACACCAAAATAAAATACCCAATCTGCCACTGAACGGGTATACATATCAAGATATCCGCATATCCTGCCTATTACCATTTCTATGTGTATGGATGGTGACAACTAAGGTTGGTTTTTGTCTGGCCTAAAATGCAGGTCAATTGAGCTTCAGGTTGCAAGTGTGTTATGCATCAGCAATCTTTTTTGACAATTTGGCTTCTGGACAGATTATGAGTAGGCCGGTAGCTAGGTAGGATGGAGAGCACAGGGTTTGGCGTTGACAACTCTGTATTTAGTATCTCCACCACATAACCCTATGTTTGGCCTGGTTTTTAGAATTATTTTTCGGTTTCAAAAGCTGAAGAAGGGTCAAACACCTCTAAAATAAAACTCATTTTTTGAAAAGCCGGAAAACGGTTTTATATAACATAAAAGCAGAAGCTTCGATTTGGAGCTTCTGCGAAAAGCTGTTTTGAAAATACAAGATTATCTTTACCATATTTTAATTTTATTTTGGAAAATCGAATTTTATTTCATTTATATCATTATAAAAATAAAATAAATTGATAAAATCATATTATTTAATATAAAAAAATATAACAGGATTCATCTTGACTATTTTTTATTTTTTAGAATTTTTGTTCATAATTCACTAAACCTCAAGTCATAAACTGCTTCTACACAACTTACACCCTAGCCTAACTACATGGCGATGGCGGCATATATAGATAAAGTCAAAGAAATATATAGACAAGAAAGGCGGCATTTCTGGAATGAAGTTATATATATATGTTTTCCAGCAGTTTGCGGTTGAGGGCTCCTTAAATCAAAATACTCTATTTATTGCATATCTGGCTCTTGGTAATGACGTCTGACCCAATACCTAGGACGAGATAGTGATATAGAAGTTTTAGAATCGATATGTAGCGCCTGCACTTGTAGACGGACGATCCCTCTTTAACCTGGTGTGAGCTATGTAATATTATGTTGATGATTATGCGAAATGGCGGACAGGGACACATTAATTGCAACGCCTTCTTAATCAATGATTAAAGTACATAGACGAATATGTTTATGTGTTTTTATATAGTAATCAATAATTAATGTGTGCCCTTCTATTATATTATTGCTAATTCGTTTTGAAGTGGCTGATCTGACACGCCATTTAAAATAACAACAACCACATCTTAACTACACGATAAGTCAATAATTTATGGCCACTAATGAGAGTTTCCTCGTTTTTATCATGACAGTCTGTCAACCAGCTGAACCAGACTTCCTAATTAAGTTATTCTCCAACTGTTTCTTATTTGACTTTTTCTCTTGTTTGTATAGAAGGGTTGTGTACAAAACCTTTTCATTAGTCGAATATTACTTTTTCTTGCCTCTCATTTTTACGCGAGTCATATCTCTTTCGTTTTGACTGACAAAGTAAAAAAAATACGAAAAGATCACATTGATTATTATCTACATTTTGGTATTCGTTTTGCTATATTTTCGGAATTTTTTTTAACTTTGTCCTTGATAATCTATGACAGCTGTAGTAGACGCGGGTTATATTACTCAACACCTCACCGTTGTATTCGTATCAACACTTTTTAATTTATTCATAAATTATTTTATCTATTCTCACTTTGATCGATCACAGATTGTAACTATATCAAAACTTGTATAAAAATACTCAACACCTCACCGTTGTATAAATTATTTGCTTAATCGACAAATTAATTTGCGTTTCCATGGAAGTTGGTAATCTTGTGTATCCAATGGGTACCAGAAAAGGGCATGAAGAAAGGAAAGTCAAGAAAAGAGGGAAACCTCTACTTGATAACAACAATTGTTATCAGATGGGTAAGCTCTTCAGCCATTGGACACACCAGCGTGCGAGGAACACCATTCATTGGGCAAAGAGGAAAAACAAAACTATCTCTTCACATGCTTGCCATACAAATCCAACCTCACAGTTCGTGAGTGAATGGGTCAGTCGACACAACAAGGTGGCTCATCTCAAGTTTGTAGCTTTACAAAGTCATGGGGGCTAAACCCACATCGGTTGTGCAAATTTCAGTTTGTAAGTCGTACAAAATCTCATCATTAAGTATAGCACTTAAACCTAAACTTTTGAACTAGCATGGGAGTTTAGGTGAAGTTGCTGATCACTTCTTGAAATTTAGTATTAACAATGAAAAGTAGTACGCGTTTTTCCAGATATCAAGACCCCTCAGCTGAGCCCCTCCAGATGGAATAAATGATAAGTTTGAAGTAGATCAACGATCATTG